ACATTGTTTCGTTCTGCTGTGCATGGGGTCACTATGAGTCGGTTCCAACTCGATGGCAACCGACAACAACAACAACAACAACAACAACAACAACAACAACATGCAGGAGACAGAGGGCTGACACTACAGGAGCATCAGGGGAGCAGGAGGCAGAGCAGTGGGCTTCCAGACCCCCGGGAGAGTAAAACTGAGTGTCTCGGCATGAGGCTCACTTGTGGAGTGGGGTGTTTCCAGGTACTTAATCCAGGGATCTATGTTTGCCAACCCGCGGAGCTAGAGCTGAGCACCTTCAGGCTGAGGCTTACTTAAAGGGAGTGAGGTGTTTGTGGGTGTTCATCAGCAGTGCTAACAGAACTTTGTTACACTGCCTGAGCAGGACAAATGCCCAGGGGCCACACGTCTGAGAAGCCAAGGACTAGACCAAGGCAGGCCTATGGGCACAGCTGAAAAGAGGCGTTCCTGACTGAAGAACTGTATCCTGAGCATTTCTGACCCTGAACTGTAAGCTGTTCACGTCCCTGATTTGTTGTTGTTGTTAAGTGCTGTCGAGTTGCTTCCGACCCATAACAACCCTGCATAGGGTTTTCAAGGAGTGACTGGTGAGCTTGAACCGCCAACCTTGCAATTTAAATGGCTTTGCAGTCTGGTGCATTAACCCACAACGCCACACCAGGACTCCTGATAAACGCCCCCTAATGGTGAGTCTGGTCTGGGAGTCCTGCTCTGTGGCCACAACAATGAACTGGAAGCCAGCAGAGAAGCGGAGAATGCCGTGGGCAGGGTGGTTGGTGTCAGAATTAGTAAAGGTTGGAGGGTGGGGGTACATTTGCTCTCTACCTCATAGGAATTGGCCTTGGGCTGTTGAAGTTGAAGCTCCTAAAAGCACTTGACCTCAAGGTTGGTTTGAACTGCAAGATTGGTGGTTCAAACTCACCAGTCGCTCCTCAGAAACACTACACAGGGTCTCTGTGAGTCGGAATCCACTCCACAGCACTCAATGACAACAACAACAACAACGGCAACCGCTTGTGAAGTCAGTGGGGGTCAGACATGGCCGTATGCCATTCTTACAACTGGAAAACATTTTGTTACGTATATTTGTACCAGAAAAGGAAATATAAAACTGCCAAGGAAATGGCAGAGCTGGCCAAAGTACAGGTACTCGGACCACAAGTCCCCAGCTATCTGTCCTGCTGTTCTGTGACAGTGTAAATGTCATAGATTCCTTAGAGGCAGGAAACCTTTTCATTCTCCCAGAGGCCCACCTCAGGCTGTGGTGGAGGCAGGGGAGGTGGGGAACTGCCCCACCCACATCCCTCCTCATTCTCTCTCTCTCTCTCCTGCAACTGGGCTGGGTGGGAGACACTTTTGTAGGGGTCTAGTCTGGACCGGCCGGGGATGGGGCGGGGTGCTGGAGTCTTACTGAAAGAGGTGGAGGCAAGCCAGGCCCCGCTCGGAGATGCGGGGACAACCAGCCAGCGTGAGTTCCTGCAGCGAGTCAGCCAGCGGGTAGAGGTGGCTGAGACACCAGTCGTCCACATGGGGGCAGCGTTGCAGAGACAGGGATTGCAGCTCCTTCAGGGGCACTGCCGGGAGCAAGGAGGGCTGGCATTAAAGAGAGACCCACCCGGCCCACTCCACCCCATCACACCCCACTCACAGAGGTTGTCCAGGCCATTGTAGTTGAGGGGACAGCCACTGGCATCCACCGCCTCCACAGGTACCTTTCGGAACTTTTGGAAGTCAAGAGAGAAGCGGCCACGCCCATCTGGCCTGATCCACTCTTGGCCCCGAAACCTGGAGGAGCAGGGCTGTCGGGTCAGTAGGGATGCAGAGTGGGAGGCACCCTCCACCCTGGGGCACTTACTGAAAGAGCCCTGGGTGCTAAACACATAAAAGCCCAGCAGTTTCAACCCACTGGGAGAAAGAAGAGGCTGCTCCCATCAAGATTTACAATCTTGGAAACCTGACGGGCCAGTTCTACTCTGCCCTCTGGGGTCACTGTTGGAATCCACTTGATGGCAGTGGGTCTTCCTAGGTAGCAGGCCCTGTATTAAGGGCTTTTACGTACATGTATATATGTATTGTATGTACTTGGATATACTGGATCCCTGTGACAATCCCAAGAAAGAGGGAATGTTTCATCAGTTTATGTAATAAGAGGCTGAGGGGTGCAAAAGTTACTGATAACAATGAGAAGACAGAAAAGACCTAGAAAAGCCCTTGGAGATGAGCAGTAAATAAGAGGCTTGTTCAGACAGGGGCACCATTTCCAAGGACGTACTCAAAGCAAGGGTACAAATCGGGCTGCGAACCGCAAGGTCAGCAGTCCAAAACTACCAGCTGTTTCGCAGGAGAAAGATGAGGCTTTCTGCTCCCGTAAAGATTTACAGCCTCGGAAACCCTGTACAGGGTCGCTATGAGTTGGAACCAACTCCACGGCACATAACAACAACAACTCAAAGCAAATGAGAATTTTAACCCAACAAAAATGAGACAGATGAAGTCAAGGTGAATTCTGCTTTTCAGAAAAGAAGGAAAAAGAAGGGACACAAAGAAAGCAGGAAGAGAAGAAACAGAAAGGGGATAAAGGAGTAAGTAAAGATGAGCCAGGCCTCGTCACAAGTGTTCAGATGATGAAATCCTGGTCCACCTTTACCACCAACGTGGCAGGTTAGAGACAATCACCATTCCACTTTACAGATGACAAAACTGAGGCTCATGTATGGTGAGCCCACAGGCCACACGGCCTGCCGGCGGCAGAGCCCAGCACCTTGCTGCAGAGTCTGGCTCACAGAGAGATACTCTGCCACCTGCCCCACCCTCATGCCAACACCTGCGTTGTCATACTTGACGGCGCCACCCAGCTTCAGGAGGAAAACAGCACTTGCGACGTATGGGCCGTATCGGTTCTCCATGTAGCTGGAAGACCTGCCGAGAAACCCACAGGTGAGGGCGAAGTCTGGGAACAGCACACCTGGCACCCCATCCCAACAGAGGCACAGGGGCCAGAGCACCAGGCCTGAACCCACCTGACAGGTCAAGTCAGGCCATACACTTACTGAGGTCTATGGAATCTTGATACGGCGTTACAGGATAATGCACTGGACTGCAAGGTCAGTTTGAGCCACAAGGTCGGCGGTTCAAACCTACCAGCTGCTCCTTGGAAACCCTAGACAGGGTCACTATGCGTCGGAACCACAACAACAACATTAAGTGCTGGGTCATGGGAGGCACAGTGGTGACTGTGACATAGGACAGACCCCACCCTGTGGAGGTGACAATTTACAGGAAAGCAGATAGCAAACCAGGAAACAGCCTCAAGTTACAGAGCATGTCAATTTCATCTTGAAAATAAATAAACCAGAGGAAAGACTGGGAGTGTCTACTGGGCAGCAAGCAGGGAGAGAAGAGGCTGACTGAGACTTGGTGCCAACAAACGTGTCTTGAATGAAATGGCAAATATTTTATTAGCTATATATTTATCCAAGGAGCGCTGGCAGCATAGTGGTTACGAGTCAGGCTGCTAACCTCAAGGTCAGTAGTTTAAAACTACCAGCTGTTCCGTGGGAAAAAAATGAGGCTTTCTGCTCCCATAAAGATTTACAGCCTCGGAAACGCTGTACAGAGTCACTATGAGTCGGAACTGACTCCACGGCACACAGCCACCACCCACCACCATGTATTTACCCCAGTCAAAAAGATGCAGAAATGAAACACCTCGTGGGGGGTGACATGTGAGCAGAGACACATGAGTAGTGAGAGGGAATGCCAAGGTCAAGGTCTGCCAGCTGGTGATGGGTAGAGTGGGGGCGGTGTGCTCCCTAGTAGGAGAAGGTTGTAAAGTCGGTTAAGGGCCAGGTTTTAGGCTTTGGAGTTTGGTTTTCATTCTAGTTTCAACCATCTGAAGGTATTAGGCAACACTACCTGATTTCCCTTAGGTGGTAATGTTATTTGCTCTATGCTGAGTCCTTTGGCTACTTTCTGGACTATAATAGATAGACTTGTTGTTGTTAAGTGCTGTCGAGTCAGTTCTGACTCACAGGGACCCTGTATAGGGTTTCTGAGGAACAGCTGGTGAGTTTGAACCATTGACCTTGCAGTCCAGTGCATCATCTCACAGCACCACACCAGGACTCCAATAGATAGACAAGAAATCAAGGGGCTCAGACCAGACCAGAGAAAGTGCAGGTGGTGGGAGGTGGTCAGATGGGCGAGATCTGGCAGCTGATTGATGGACTGGATGTGGGGGGGGGAGGGGCAGAGAAACAAAGAGGAATCAAAGATGACTTAGAATTTGTCCAATCAGCGGGGTGGGTTGTGGTCCTGTTCACCAAAGTGGAGAAGGCTTGGGCTGAGATTTTAAGGAGAAATCCAGGGCTTGGTGTGAACCAGGTTAAGTTTGAGATATTGAGTGGGTGATTGCCTACACGGAGTCTCTGGGAGAGGACTGGCGGGGAGTGTCTAACTGGAGATAAACGCTGTAGGTGGCTCCTGGGGGCCATTCACGCAGTGGGAGGGGTCTGGGCTGATGGGTCTGGACAAACTCAAGCAGGCCAGGGGCTCTTACCGATTTTCCTTGTGTACCTTCATCATCTGCTTTTGGAACAAGTACTCCCTCAGAAATTGCACATCGTAAAAGTAGTCAGTCAGGAAGTGGACCAGCATCTTCTTCTTCTTAGGACTGCCCTCAGGGGCCACCGTCCTGCTCAAACCACCGATGCCCCTGGCACCCCTGCTCCATACAGGAGCCACCAGGCACAGGGACTGAGAAAAGGGAGAGGTGGGACTGAGACTGCAGCTTCCCATGAAAGACACACCTGGGTCTTCAGTTCTTGCTCTATGAATACCTGACTTTTGCGAAATTCTTCAGAAATTCCAGATTCTGCTTTTGAGATTGCCAAATTTTCTCCATGTTTTTTTTCCCAAGTCCTCCCTCTTAAGTCAGTCCTATATTCCCTGCTTGGTCTAATTAAAACTTTCCTGGTTTTCACAAACTCTTCCCTTAATTTCCCCTAAACTCTTACTTTTATCTCAACACCTTGATTATCTGATTTCTTCATTTCCCACAAATTCTCCCTTTAATTTTATCTAGTTCTTCCTGAGGTTTCATAAATGACCCATTTCTTTCCTCCAAAGTAATCTTAATTTTTCTCCAAATTACCCTTAATTTATCTTTTAAGGCCCCAAACTAACTGTTCCCTTACTTCCTCTCAAAGGTCTCTTCTTATCCCTAATTCTCTTTTTATTTTAACCAAATTCTCCGTTTTCCCCAATTTCTCCCCATTAATTTTGTCTAAACCCTTATTTTCCTTCAAAGTGTCTCTTAAACTCTCAACTTCTCTCTTTAATGTTTCATAAAATTAATTCTTTGGCTTTGTTCAATTCTTCCTTTTCTCTTTTTAAAATCTCTTCATGAACATTACAACTGTCTCCTTAATTTCCCCCAGGTCCTTCCCTTGAAGCTATCAAATTCACCTCTTTGTTCCTGCCCAATTTACACCCCTTATTATGTCTTTGCAAACCGATTCCAAGGCACATAACAACAACAACAATCATGTCTTTGCAAGGAGCTCTTGGTATCGGGCTGCGAACCTCAAGGTCAGCAGTTTGAAACTACCAGCTGTTCTGTGAGAGAAAGATGAGGCTTTCTGCTCCTGTAAAGATTTACAGCCTTGGAAACCCTGTACAGGGTCACCATGAGTCGGAACTGACTCCATAGCACATAACAACAACAACATCATCCCTTTAGCCACCCAGAAAATTCCTAATGCTTTCATAAATTTTGCCCCAATTTGTGGTCTCCTGCCCTTGGCAAATCAGATAATCTTGGCCATTTCCTGCTCTCCACTCCTTCTTAAGCACTAGAACTCTTTAAGCATAGAAAAGCTAAACCAATGGGAATAGAAAATTTCAAAGGGCAGACTGAGAAGACAAAGTAAAGTATTATAAAGAAATGTGAAAAGACCAGGAGTTAGAAATCCAAAAGAGAAGAACACACTCAATGTTTCTCAAGCTGAAAGAGCTGAAGAACAAATACATGCCTCAAGTTGCAATATATTGAATGATGTAGGAAAAATGAAAATAAGATGGAAGAAATACACAAGAGTACCTGTACCAAAAAGAACTGGTTGATGCTGATGTCAGCTGGATCTTGACTGAAACAGAGAATACCAAAAAGATGTTCACTTGTGCTGTACTGACTATGCAAAGGCGTTCGGCTGTATGGATCACAACAAACTATGGATAACATTGCAAAGAATGGAAATTCTAGAACATTTAGTTGTGGTCAGAAGAAGCCTGAACTTACAGAAAGTATCCCCTTGTTGTCTTTCAAACAGAACAAGGGGATACTTTGTGGTTTAAAATCAGAAAACGTGTGTGTAAGGGTTGTATCCTTTCATCATACTTATTCAATCTGTATGCTGAGCAGAGCTAATCAAAGAAGCTGGACAATATGAAGAGCTTGGCATCAGGACTGGAGGAAGACTAATTACAACCTTCCATATTTCTTGCTTGCTGAAAGCACAGAGGACTTGAAGCACTTACTGATAAAGATTAAACAATATAGCCTTCAGTATGTATTACAATTCAATCTAAAGGAAAAAAATGGCCACAACTGGACCAGTGAACAAGCACAATAAATAATGAAAAGATTGAATCTGTTGAGGATTTCAGTTTACTTGGATCCAAAATCAATAATCATGGAAGTAGCAGTCAAGAAATCAAATGACATATTGCACTGGGCAAATCTGCTGCAAAAAACCTCTTTAAAGTGTCAAAGAGCAAAGATGTCACTTTAAGGACTAAGGCGTGCCTGACCCAAGCCATGGTATTTCCAATTGCTTCATATGCATGTGAAAGTCGGACAATGAATAAGGAAGACTGCAGAAGAATTGATGTATCTGAGTTATGGCTTTGGTGAAGAATATTTAAAGAACCATGGACTTCCAGAAGAACAAACAAATCTGTTTTGGAAGACTTACAGCCAGAATGCTCCTTAGGAGAGTGGATGGCGACTTGGGACATGCAGTCAGGAGGGTTTAGTGCCTGGTGGTTGGCAGTCGTGTACCGTTGAGTCGGTTCCGACTCATAGTGACCCTGTACAGGGCTTCCGAGGCTGTAACTCTTAATGGGAGCAGAAAACCCCATCTTTCTCCCGCAGAATGGTCGGTGGATTCTAGCAGCCCAATGTGTAAACCACTAGTCACTGGAGAAGGACATTTTTTGTTGTCATGTGCTGTGGAGTCGGTTCCGACTCATAGCAACCCTGTACAGGGCTTCCGAGTCTTTAAGGGAGCAGAAAGCCTCATCTTTCTCCCCGCAGAACAGCTGGTAGTTTCGAACTGTTGACCTTGAGGTTCACAGCCCGATTCGTAACCACTACGTTACCGTAGCTCCTTGGAGAAGGACAGTATACTTGGTAAAGTATAAAGAAGACAGCCCCCACCCCCACCCCCCAAAAAAAGGCAGATTAACACAGTGGGCTCAAACAACAATTGTGAGGATGGTCCACAGTCATGGAGAGTTTCTTTCTGTTGTGCATAGGGGTTCGCTCTGAGTAGAAACCTACTCGCCGGCACCTAACATAACCACGTCTTGATCCCAATCTCGTCCACCCATTGGCTCACTGTAGTCATACTCCTACCGCTGATTGGCTGGGCGCATTATTTTCGCTGCTAAGTCCCTGCCCCCCTCTCAATTACTAAAGCTCCTTCACCGTTAGTGTCCCTGGTTTTTCCCTGTCCAATACACTGACTACACTCCCAGCGCGAGGTTTAGCGGGAGAGTCCTGCTTCTTCACGGCTCCTTGCGCCCCTTGGGTGCTAACAGTTCTGGAGGCGGAGAGGGCAGAAAGAAATTCAGTTTTGAAAGTCCTAGGAGCTCCGTTCACCTACCATTCTGGGCGCCGCCATCTTGCTAGGGTCACGAACCGGAAGGGACCGATCTTATTTTCCGATCCCGTTCATCTCGGTTAGTAATTGTTGTGAAGTGCAGTGTAGTCGGTTCTGACTCATAGCCACCCTGTATAGGGTTTCAGAGGAGCGGCTAGTTGGTTTGAACTGCCGACCATGTAGTTAGCAGTCCACTGCTGACCTTACAGCGCCACACTAAGAGTCCCTTTTAGTAATAGGCGTTTCCCCAGTGGCTCTTTTTCCCACCCCTCCTCTTAAAGACACAGGGATGGAAGTCTGAGTTCACCCCACAGGACGCCCTTGAAGAACGATCTGATGATGTTTCTGAAAACCCAGCCATTGAAAACCCTTTGGAGCACAGTTCCACTTAACACACACATGAGGTCCCCAACAGTAGGGATCAAGGTCAGTCTGCAACTTTTTTTTTTTTTAAAGGTGCAGATTTATGGGGCTTCAAAAAGTTCGTGGAGAAATGAAATGGAAAAAATAATGGAAGTATTCCACGAACTTTTTGAAATCGTTTATTTTGACACTTACGGTGTAGGGACTGCTCCAAGAGCCCTTTCCACGAGCCTTCCCCTGAAGAGGGTGGCCAGTCCTTCTTGTAGTGTACCTTCCTTCCCTCCTACTGAGGTGACACTTGTATTGAGAGGTGTTAGGCTTCAGTTAGAAGTTCAAAACTAGATTTTAGCATGAAGTCTTGTGGATAGAATCATTCATTCATTCATTCCACAAATATTTACTAAGCTTTACTGCGCTCCCTGGTGGCGCTCTAGGATAAGCACTGGAATGCTAGTTAACGTTTTTTTCCCTGGCCCCTCTCGCTTTGGGAAGGGGCGGGTAGGGGGCGATAACCACCCCCACCACCAAGAATTAGTCACACCAAGTCGCCGCTTCTTAGTCACTGACAATAAGCATTCACTTAGACTCTCTTTATTGCCAAGCAAAAATACGCGTCAGAGAGAGAGAAGGGGTCTTTCTCCGCCGGCAAGTGGAGCCGACCTGGAAACAGGAAGCATAGATTAGTTAACGTCAAAGCGAAACTACACTTCAAAGAGAGAAATGGGTCTGTCTCTGCGAGTTTTGGGGTTGGGGGTGCCCTGGTTTATAAAGGTATGGAGTCTCTCCTTCCCACGATGGGCTAATACATATTAATTAGAAGGATTGTTGTGATGAATATTCATGATTTTTTAGTAGAGGGGCGCAGGCTTCTTGGAAATGGCGTGCCTTCTGCATTTGTCAGCTCTAGGTGCTATCTTCTTTTTGTGGATCATCTGCCTGTGACCAGCTACTTCTATCAGAGTTTCAGGTTCTGAGATCCCTATCTCTATCCCCAGGCTAGTCTCAGTGTTATCTTGTTGGACTAGAGATGTCTTCCCCCACTTTCAGGGGAAGCCAGGGGAAGAGGGGCCCAGGGCCTCTGACATGCTAACTGAATGGTGGTGGTTGTTGAGTGCCATCGAGTTGATTCCGACCCATAGCAACCCTGTATTGGGTTTCCAAGGAGTGGCTGGTGAGCTTGAACCGCTGGCCTTGCGGTTCAAACCAATTTTGCAGTCCGGCACATTAACCCACAGTGCCACACCAGGACTCCTTGAATGTTAGGTGGTTCCAACCAGAGTCTTTCTGCTCTTGTAATGATTTACAGTCTTGGAAACCCTATGTTGTTAAGGTCCATTTAGTTGATTCCCACTCATAGCGACCCTGTATAGGGTTTTCAAGGAACGGGTGGTAAGTTTGAACCGGCCACCTTGCGATCCAGTGTTTTATAATACAGCGCCACAGGGGAATCAACTCTGTGGCAATGGGTTTGGTTTGGACTCTTTTTTTTAACCACTTGGCAGACACAGTTCTGTGTACTGAGGTTACTATGGGAAACAGATCCAGCCCTTCTCTGTCAGGTGGGAAGAGGCTTGATCAGAAACAAATGAATTATTCAAGATAATTTCAGCTAGTGCTTGGTAAGAAGGGGGGGTGGTGGAGCAAATCATAGGAAGTGATTGGAGCCTGGAGCCATCAGAAAAGAGGACATTTAAGGGGAAGTGAATGAATGATAAGGAAGCTGTCATTCAGAGATGTAGGAAGAGACTATTCAGGGCAAAGGTAAAAGCTAGCATAGAGGACCTGTGGTGGGAGTGACCCAGGACAGGGATGGAAACCAGACATCAACAGATACTAAGCACCCATGAAGGGTCAGGCCGGGGCGGGTGCTGGGAAGAGGCAGGGAGGGGTTGAGGTTGGACCCTGGTGAGCAAAGAATGAACTTTGGGATGCCTCTGTCAGCCCTTTTGGCCCCGCCTGACTGCCCTTCACTCCCTCCACCTCCTCAGGGGACTGGGTCACTCTGGACCTTGCTACTTCCTGCTCCCTGACGCCTCTGCTCAGAGGAATGGAACAGTGGAATCAGCTGAGGCAGGCTGGGCTGTTGCCCGAGGGGCTGGGCCCACCCCCTCGGGCTCTAAGTGGGTTCTTTCCTATGGGGAAACCTGACCAGACCCTCATGTTCCCAGAGACAGACTCTGGAGGTGCCAGGGAGACACTGCTGTCTATCTGGGAGGAGCTGGTAAGTTGTGGGGATGAGGGTGGGGGGTGGGGGGAGCAGCTGGAGAAAGAGACAGACAGACAGACTGGAAATAGCGCCAATGACAGAGATCAAAAGTCAGGAATGGAGAGAAATAGAGGCTAAGACATGCAGAAACAGATCCAAGGAGAGACTGGAAGAGAGGGAGAGAGAGAGCAGGAACAAAGGAAGAAAGACTAAAATGTGAGAGATGGGGGATCTAGGATAGAGGAATGGAGAAACAGACAGAGACAGAAAAGATAACAGAGACAGACAGGGTCAGAGGTAAATAATAAGGGAGGGAGGCATTAAAAGAGAATGGGCTTTTCCCATAAACTTTTTGAAGTCCCTTATATAAGAGAAACAAAGAGATGAAGACTCAGAGACAGAGAAAAAGGTGGAGACGGTGAGAGATGCTGAAATGGAGAGACAGGCAGGCATCAAGAGTGTCAGGAGCAGACTGTGAGATCCCGCTAAGATGCAGAGGATCCCACCCCAGAGCTTTGGGTCAGGTCTTGGGGGCACCTACTCCCTCCCAATTAGCACCCTGACCTTTGCCATCAGCTGTGGAATTCCCATGACTACTCCCCTTCCCACTGTCAGGGGAACCTCCGCCGAATGGATGTCCAGCTGCTGGACCAGCTGTGTAGCCTGGCGTTGGAGATGGGGATACTGCAGGAAGAACTGGCTGCCATCCTGGAAGAAGAGGAGGAGGAGAGTTGTGAGGAAGAGGAAGAGGATGAAGAGACCCAGAGGGAGCAGGAGGAAGAAGATCTGGGGGCTCCCTGGCTGGCCACACACCTCCCTGACTTTGAGATGACAATCTGAAGTTCTTCTACTAGTTTGCTTGCAATGAGGTGACATTCATGCAAAGAGCGAGGGTGGGATTTTCAAGTCAAATAAAGATTTGGAATCAACACCTGTTCCTTTAGCAAGTGCTTTCTCAGCAGAGCATTAGGCGTTGGTCTGAGCGGTGATGGTTGGTTTGTAGGTGATGTGGAAAGCTTGACCAAGAAGTTGCAGCTGTGTCTGCACATGAGCCGTGAGTGCGTTATGGGTGACGCACAGAGCTTTGCAGCTGAGAAGCCTGTGTTTGCCTGGAAGATGTGGGTCTTTGCAAATAATCATAGAGATTCTTGCAAATGAGGTTTTAGATCAACACTGTCCAGTATGGTAGCCATATTCGATAGTGAATCTTTGAAATGTGGCTAGTGCAAATTGAGATGTGTTGTAACTACGTAGATGTCAATTTCAGAGACTGAAGATTCCCAATTAAGTAATTCCACACCGGGACTCTGACAGCAGCGAGGAAGACGCTGAACCTGGCAGGGTTTGGTTCTGTTGTACATGGATTGCTCTGAGTTGTCACCAACTCAACATCACTTAACAACAATAACAACAGCAACATATGTTAGGATAATAATAAGAATGTACATCTCTTTCTTTCTCTATGTGTTATTGTTAAGTATCATTGAGACGGTTCTGACTTTTAGTGACCTTGTATAGGGTTTTCAAGGGGTGGCTGGTAGGCTTGAAGTGGTTAGCAGTCCAGTGCTTAT